ACAGTTTCAAGCGGACCTGGCGGACCTTCTCGCACGCGGCATTTCTGCGCCCAGAGTTGCGGGATATCGTCTCAGGAGAAGGTGGCCAGATCGCTTCATGCGCGGCATCCGATCGCCTAGTGCGCGGCATCTCCAATCCCAGAAAAGCGAGGATGTCTCAAGCAAGTTGGTCGGAGGACCTCAGGTCACGGCATCTCCGAGCCCAGAGACGCGAGGATGTGCCAGAAGAAATGGGGCAGACCCCTACTGACGCAGCGTCCGGGAACCACGAATTGCGAAAACGTGTCAAGAAAAACGGGTCGGATCATCTAAGATCAGGTCGTCTCGGAACACAGTCTTGTGAGGATGTCTCAAGCGAAACGTGCCAGACCACCTCAACATTTTGAGAATGTCTCGACGCGCGAGATACTGGTGCCGCACACGTTCTACCACAACAATGCCCCCCAGCACCGGCCGGGGACCCCGGGAACACTCCACTGCAAAGCCTTGATGACGGCAAGAAGCGAGAAGCTCCCATGTGCACATATGCATGTACGACAAATCTGGTATGAGCTCTGGAGGGCAATGTTCACAATGATTGCTTCCGTCAAAAGGGTACGTCGCCTCCCGATGTCAACCTTACCGAATTTCCGCCGGAGCCAGAGCAGCCCTGCCCCTGCTCTACTTCATCCCCCTGCACATTCTCCCCTACCGCTCCTTCGCCCCTGTCTCCTGTCTCCTCGTCCTTATCTTCGTCGTCATCGTCTTCCTCCCAACGCCTCCTCCTGCTGCTGCTCCTCAACCCATCTTCATCATCGTCCTGACTCGCATCTCATCCGATGCACCAAGCTAAAGATAGGAAGCCGTTCGAGAGAAAGACAGAGAGATAAGGAGGAGAGCGGACTATCGATATACAGATGTAGATATAGCAAGAGATATATCTATGTGTATATATCAGAGTGAAGGGGCCGAACGGTCATTCACTGTCCCTGGGTGCGTGGCTGAAGTGGAATTCCGCGGTGCGGATTCGTGTTGTTGTTGTTGTTGTTGTTGTTGTTGTTGTTTGTTGTTGTTGTTGAACATTATTAATTCTAAAGAATAATTATTGTTGGGCCCCCTGGTGCACGCCCCCCCCCCCCCGCGCCTAGGCCGCAGCCACATTTTCATCATTTTCGTGAGGAAGTCTCAGGTAAAACGATGTCATCCAGATCCGGTTGTTTTGTTGACGCCCGCTTTCCCTGTCAAAAAACACTATAAAATGACATGTCTTGTTCTAACATAACCAAACTTCAAGAATCCTTTGCAAAAAATGACACGAAGTGCACACTCGCGCGCGCAAGATGAAATCCTTCCAAAACCTTAGTTTTCGTAGCGATTTTAACATAAAAACATGAAAAACCCAATGGTTTTTCAAAAAAAAAGTTTCAAAAATTCATCCCGCGCGCTCTTGCGGATTTCTGAGGAAACCCAATATTTTTTCAACATTTCTGTCAAACGGGCTCTTGCGAGCAACTTTTTCACGTGCTTCGAACTTCTGCAACAACGGTTGCGCGCATGCCAGGGCCATCATCCCTGTCAAATAATACCATGCGGGACACATTCGTTTTTTCTTCGCGCGCGCACGCCGTCGTCGTCGGCCGCGGGGCCCTGAATAGTAGCCACGGTCGTCCGCATGCCACGAAGTGAAGTGTCCGAACGTCATAGGGCGGGAAGCTGGGTGTGGGTGGTGGCGAAGAGTCGTTTGGAAATTTGGTAGAGCTTGAACCGGCCCCCCCACAAAGTGGGGGTATTGCCCGCCTCCTATGAAAACCCTGGCACTGGTGAGAACGGAGTGTCCCCACGTGCTAGTAATTGTTGTTGTTGTTGTTGTTGTTGTTGTTGTTGTTGTTGTTGTTGTTGTTGTTGTTGTTGTTGTTGTTGTTGTCGTCGTCCCACCCGCAACCCGCCCCGCGACCCACCCGCGACCCAACCCGCGACCCACCCCGCGACCCACCCACGACCCAACCGCGACCCACCCGCGACCCACCCCGCGACCCACCCGCGACCCACCCCGCGACCCACCCCGCGACCCACCCGCGACCCAGCCCGCGACCAACCCGCGGCCCACCCCGCGACCCACCCGCGCGACCCGCGACCCACCCACCGCGACCCACCCACCCCGCGACCCACCCCGCGACCCACCCCGCGACCCACCCGACCCCCCGCGGCCCACCCCGCGACCCACCCGCGACCCACCCGCGACCCACCCGCGACCCACCCGCGACCCACCCCGCGACCCACCCGCGACCCACCCGCGACCCAAACCACGTTCAAGGTACAAACCACAATTTTCGGCGCCTGCGGCGGGCTTTTTTTGCATTCCTTCCAGGTGGAGAGCCCGCGACCCACCCCGTGACCAACTTGCGACCAACCCGCGACCCAAACCACGCTCAGGGTACAAACCACATTTTTCGGCGCCTGCGGCGGGCATCTTTTGCATTCGTTTCAAGTGGAATGCCCGCGGCCCACCCGCGACCACGTTCAAGGTACAAACCCAATTTTTCGGCGCCTGCGGCGGGCATCTTTTGCATTCGCTCCCGGTGGAGAACCCGCGGCCCACCCGCGACCCAAACCACGTTCAGTGTACAAACCAAATTTTTGGCGCCTGCGGCGAGCTGCTTTTGCATTCCTTCCAGGTGGAGGTGGAGAGCCCGCGACCCATCCGCGACCCAAACCACGTTCACTGAACAAACCAATGCCGAGGGGGAGGAGGGGGAGGAGGAGGGGGAGGAGGGGGAGGAGGGGGAGGAGGAGGACGAGGAGGGGGAGGAGGATGATGATGGACGACAATGGGAGGACGATGATGGAGGCCGATGAGGGGGAGGACGACAATGGGAGGACGATGATGAAAGGACGAGGGGGGGAGAGGGAGGACGAGGAAAAAGAGGAGGAGGAGGAGGACGAGGTGGAGGAGGAGGATAACGATGACGATGAGGACGAGGACGAGGAAGAGGAGGAGGAGGAGGAGAGCGCCATCGACAGGGAACTTGGGGGCCACGAGGTTCGCCGGCTCGACGACGCCCGCGTCGCCCGCGCCCGCCCCCCCACTCTTATCCGCAATTGCGGGGTGCTACATATATATATATAGAGAGAGAGAGGAGGAAACAACAACAACAATAATACAACACAAGCAACAACAGCAACAGCAACAGCAACAGCAACAGCAACAACAACAACAACAACAACAATCACTTTAAGACTGTTCGCCCTTATCTGCTCGAGTGTCCAATAACGCCAATTTCCCAAACCCTCGATACCCGCTCCCTTCGTCTTCGATCGAACCCCTTTTGGGGGGTAGACCTTTCTTCCCTGCAGGCCGGGCCCCGGCAAGCGGCGGGGCGGCCGCGGACCGTCGCCCTGGCCAGCGGCAGCGCTGATCGGCGGGGCGGCCGCGGACCGTCGACCCGACCCCAAGAGGGACGGTCAGGGGACCGACCACGACGACGACGACGACGACGACGACAACGTCGACGACGACCGCGACGACGACGACGTCGACGATGACAGCGACGAGCGAAAGCGAGAGCGAAAGAGAACGACAGCAGGGCCACAAGGACACGAGCTGGGCCACGAAGGGCAACAGCGGGGACACGAAGGGAATGCGTATGGGGCCACGAAGAGCGCGAACGAGCGGGGACCACGAAGGGCAGATAATGCGGGGCCACAGAAGGCAACGATGGGGCCACTGAGGGTAGCAACTGGGCCACGTAGGACATATGCATATGGGGCCACCACGGGCGCGAACGAGCGGGGGCCACGAAGGGCATACATAATATGGGGCCACGAAAAGCAGCGAGGGGGCCACGAAGGGCTGCAACGGGGCCACGAAAGGCAGCGAGGGGGCCACGAAGGGCTGCAACGGGGCCACGAAACAAAGCGAGGGGGCCACGAAGGACTGCAACGGGGCCACGAAGGGCAGCGAGGAGGCCATGAGGGGCTGCAACGGGGCCACGAAGGGCAGCGAGGGGGCCACGAAGGACTGCAACGGGGCCACGAAACAAAGCGAAGGGGCTACGAAGGGCTGCAAGGGGGCCACGAAGGGCAGCGAGATCCCGATTCCTATGTAATCTGTGAGGGAGTCCTAAGCGTGAGCGCGACTCCTGGGTGCCTGGGTGTCGGGAGCGCGGCGTTTGAGTAATTTGCAAGAAATTCCAACGCAAGGGCGCTAGCCGCTATGCTTCAGTAAATTGCAAGCAAGTCTCCAGCGAGAGCGCGACTCCAGAGCGCCGGGAGAATAAATTCTTAGGAATTCCCAAGCGAGGGCGCGATTCCTGAATAAAACGCGAGGACGTCTCGGGCGGGAGCGGGGGTCCTGGCTAAATTGTGAGGAAGTCTCTGGCGGGAGCCGTTGTTGTTGTGAACCGGGGCCCACGACACAGTTTAACCCTCAAGACTTTGACTGATAAAAAATAGGGTGCGAACCCCGGGAAGGGCACTTCAATCAAAAAAACAATGTGCACCGGACAGGGGGGATCAACAATAATTATTCTTCATAAGTGAGAGTTCAACAACAACACCAACAACAAAAATATACACATACGGTCCGGGACGTTTGCTTAGCGTGTCGCGGCGGCGGCCCGAACGACACGCTATGCCAAGCGAAAGGGTAGCACGTCGCTCCGCTCAACCGGGGAGGGGCCTGGGAACGGCTCGGGACATTGACGCCGGGGGACCGCGAAGTGGATAGCGTGTCGCGCTGAAGCGCGGTGGGCCAGAACCAGCGGCGCAACACGCTAAGCTAAAGTTCCCGACCGAAAATTGCGAAAGTAAAGGCAAACGACCCTACCTCGCCTTTGACCGCCCTCGCTTCAAAACGGCAGACAAACGATACCAAGCTACACGTGGGGTGGACAGCAACGGTCAGGCTGCTTGACGAGGGGGCGCGCGAAATTGAATTTGCCTGGAAGCGACAGCGGAGTAAGTAATCGACCCTCTGAAAGAGAGCGAAAGAGAGAGAGAGAGAGAGGGAGCTGGGTCAAGAGGATGCCTCACTTCTCGTCCTGTGGCTCTTCACCCTCTCGCCCATGGCCCCGTCGCCAGCGACCCGGATCGTCGTCGCGACGCGGGCTTGCTGGAGAGCTGTTATCTCACCGAAGCCCCTGGCGGCGCTTAAGAGGGCCCTCCAACGCTCAAGACCTCGCTGCTCGTCCCTCCGTCCTCGATTGGCGTTAGGTCGGGCATGTCCCCCTACAGGCGGGTTCTAGGCAAAAAATATCAATACCTTCAAACCCACTCAAACACAATCAGAACATGCTAAAAAAGAAGTCCCCTGACAATTTGTTGACAAGTTTTGAATATTCCTCCTGTAGAGGGACAGGCCCGACTTAAACTCAATGCCTCGCTGCTTGTCCCTCCGTCCTCGACTTGCGGCCGCCGACGACTACGTGCGACGGGGAGGCGGCGCGCCCGAGCGGAAGAGCATGAGCCCCAAGACTCGCGCACCCTCCCCCCTTCCCCTCCCAACATCACTCTCGCTGTCGTCGTCGTTGTCGCCATCGCCGCTGACCTCACTCCGCCTCTCGGAAGCTGGGCGAGGGCTGGCACACCCGTGGCTGCGAAAGCGGTCTTCCCAGAAGAAGAGAACATACTCCCGGAACAAAAACTCAGCGCACGAAGTCGTAAAAAGTCTGCTTCCCGGAAGAAAAGAAACAATTTCCCGAGCTCTGATTTAGCAGCCACGGGTTTGCCAGCCTTTGCCCGGCTTCCGAGCCTCCCTCCATACCCAGCCCACATGCAGGAGGGATAGGAACACACAGACACAATTAATCGTCGACTCCCAGGAACACATGGGAAAATATGGGAACTGGGGGGGGGGGAAGACAAAAACACAGAAAGCATCGGAAAATATTGTGAATCCTGTTATTTGTGTGCACTTATTTGTGTGTCACAGGGCCCTGTCACACATCCGCTGCAGCTCCACGCTCCCCCTCGCCGCGCCGCCTGCCCTCCCGAGCGAGGGAGAAGGGGGGAGGAGGAGGAGGAGGAGGAGGAGGAGGAGGAGGAGGAGGAGGAGGAGGAGGAGGAGGAGGAGGAGGAGGAGGAGGCAGGAGGAGGAGGAAGGAGGAGGAGGAGGAGGAGGAGGAGGAGGAGGAGGAGGAGGAGAGGAGGAGGAGGAGGGGTCGGGAGCGGGAGGATGGCAGGGGAGGCGCATCCAATTCCGCGGGAGCCGCGATACCACCAGACCCATTTCCCAAAGTCGCATCCCCTCCTGGGCAGACGTTCTCCTCCCTTCCGTCCCTCCCACCCCATCTCCTCCTCGTCCACCCCCTCCTCTTCGACATCATCATCATCATCATCATCATCATCATCATCATCATCATCATCATCATCATCATCATCATCATCATCATCATCATCCTGTTCTTTCTCGAGGTCGTGGCAGGAAGGTGACGCCCCTGCAAGATCCATCAAGATGGGGAAGGGGCGACGGCGGTGCAGCAGCAGCAGCAGCAGCCTCTTCTCCCTGATGCTATCAATCACCCAGCGGGCGAACGTCTGGCGTACACTTGTTCAAGTTGTAGCACGAAGGAGCCTTTCACATTATACATTCAGGCCTGCGGGTTACATGGAACAAAGCAGTTCACCGAGGACGTTCTGTAAATAGCGCAGTAGGTCGGTCCATGGGTCTATCCTCATCCCTGATCCAGTCGAGTGCAGGATCGCTGTGCAGGCCGATCGGGCCGAAAACAAGCGATCCTATCCTGGAGTGCGTGGGTGCTGTGGGAGTCGCCCGGAAACTTGCCTACCAGGAGCCGTCGAGAAGCTGGAGGACTTGCCTGACGCTTTGATGTTTGGGTGAGGTTGGTTGCATGTCCTCTCCAGCGTTATGTTACTCCCATCGTACTCAAAGACCACATCCCAGACCAACAAAAAAACAGGCACCTGGAAAAGTGTCGAAAGAGTGTCGAAACAGTGTCGGACGAGTGTCTCCCAAGGCCCGCCCGACACGTGAAAACCGGTGAGTTTGGGTACTTTTTTGGTGCTCGAAATTATTTCTGGCGGTCAAGGCTAAAGTAGGTTGGAACATCAGAACTCCAGCGCGGAATTGGGAAGTGGGAGGGAGGGAAGTGCAGGGCACACGCAATCCGCCGCATGACTCCAACTTCAGGCTGCACGCCAGTCTCCCCCCAGCCTGCCGACCCCGACGTGAAAAACTCCTGGGCTCGGGCGACGGGGCAGGTGCACGTGCCACGGAATCGAGCGCAGGAGCCGCATCGCAGAGAAGAGGCAGAAGGCGGACGGGGGAGAGGAAGGGAGAGACGGAGGTGACGGAAGCGGAAGGGGGGGGAGGGGGGCGGGCGGAAGAGGAAACGGAGGGGGGGGACGTGGGGGCTGGGGGGAAGAGGAGGACGGAGCAGGGGGGGGGAGATCAAGGAGGTGAGAGCACAAGATCACACGAAGGACTTCCCCCGAACTTACTTCAGCAGCTGAACGCGCTGCCACGGCTTCTGCACCATGGCCTCCGAAAGGCGGCCTCCGAAGCTCGGGCGCGCACAGGCTGGCGGCTGCGGCGGCTCTGCGGCTCCCGAGCTCATCCCGACCATCCAGCGCCGATTGGAGGGTTTCTCCGAAGGGCTTAGGCGACCCACCCTCCTCCTCTTCCTCCTCCTCCTCCTCCTCCTTTTCCCCTTCCTCCCTCCTCCTTCTCCTCCTCCTACTCCTTCTCCTCCTCCTCCGGTCGTCTACGGCCCCGGGGGAAATCGTGCAGCACCGATGTGGCACACTGCGACCAAACATCCAGCGCCGATGTGGCACAATGCGACCAAACGACAAAGGAAGACATCGAGCAGGGGAGGATTCACAAATGTGCTGTTCACTCATCTGGGTCGCCCTCTGTGGCCTTGCGGCCTGGCGGCCTCGACGTCGACGGCGAGGACGACGACGAAGCGGGAATCACTTGGTCGGCGTCCGCATCCCGGTGGGGCGCTATGACACCCTGGGCATTTTCAAATCGCGTGGTCGCATTATCCAGTCGGCGTTCAGATGCCTCTCGACTGGCACAGTGGAGAATGTATCAGCCAGATGACGGGCAAGAGCTGCTGTACACACAGCGGGCTTCTGGGAGGGGCACCTGGATAGGCACATCGGTGGATGGTGTCCTTTTCATATGGATGCAAAAGCTCGGTACCTTTGGCGGCCCCAGAGCTTCGAAATGCACTCCACCCTGAAGGCCTACCAAAACGCCAACAGAGCACGGCAAACTCAAGCGTGGTCTCGAAGTGGCCAAGACCAATCCGTCAAACAATGCTAGCGCAAATGCGTTTCAACTTCCAGGCCTCCATACCCTCCGCCTCCTTCGCAACCTCCTCCTACTCCAACTTCCGTATCTTGCTCCCGTTTCTCCTCCTCCGTCTCATCCTGCTCTTCCTCGTTCCCCTTCGCCTCCATTCCCTCGCCTTCCCCACCTTTCACCCCATCCCCTCCTGACCCTCCCCACCTTGAATCTCCCCCCCCGGCCACCATTTAGTAGGAAAAATGCATAACATAAAGGGAGGGCCCGCGCGGATCAAACAAATCCGCGCGGAGCGCCAAGAGTTTGTGTATGACGTGTTTCCTTCTTCGACCACGCATCGTCCCCATGCCTGCCCGCATAAACCCTGGGACGATGGCGCGGCAAACAGGCGACGGATCTCCAACTGGACCTCGGTACTTGGACTCCAACGTGGGCCTGTTACTGTAGAGAGGGTCATGCAACAAACGTTGCGACATTTATTATGCGTATATGTGCAAGTGCGGTCTGGCAAATCGGGGCGGCATCATCGCGACGCCAATGGGAGTCGTGGGCTCGAGCCTTTGGCCTGGAAAAACGAAACGCACGATTACCCATATCATGAAGTTCTGCAACCAGTCACTGTGTTCTGGGGGGTGCACGGACACGCAGGACACTGTTCAGCTAATCGTTAGCTGGCGCCCGCCTCGAAGTCATGCCCCATCCACCGCCTCTTCCAAATATCCCTTCGCTGCGGCCCCACCCTCCTCACGCCCCTCCGATTGCCCCCGTCCTCGTTATGCCCCTCATTCGCACTGCCACCCCCCATGTGCCAACTCATGTCGTTCCTCGTCGTCCTCCTCCGCCGGATTCGTTCCCCCATCGTCCACATGGCACCCCTCCTCCCATGCTCTACGCCCTAGTGCACATCATGCCCCCGACTTCTGCCCCCCCCCCCCCCCGCCCTCTTCCTCGTGATGCTGACACCGATGATGCAGCTCCTCGTGGGCTCATTCCCTCCGTTCTCGTCCAATCCCGTTCATCCTTAGCCCCTTGACCACCCCTCCTGTCGAACCCCTTCTTTCCAACAGCCCACCATCCCACCTCCCCGCGCCTTTGCATGCCCAGACCACGGCCCCCTCCTGGACCAGCCGGGAGATCCGCGGACCCCCATGCCCAGTGAACACTCCAGCGAGCGGCGCGCAACAAATGCAGTTGGAGACACGAGCTGTGTATTTCGACCGCGTACGACGCCCCCCCTGGACCAGCCGGAAGAGAAACGCGAAACTTCCCGCCCAATCAACACTACTCCCGAGGGGGACACTCCAAATACACTGATGGGAACGAGATCTGTGTACATAGATCACACCACGATCTGTGTAAACAGTGTGCCCTTACACGAAAATACACAGTTGAAGACACAACTTGTGTACACAGATCACACCTTGATGTGTGTATTCCGGAGAAAAAAATAAACGCTCGCCACCTCGAGGTGCCCCGACTTTGCCAACCCAGAACCGAGGTCGACATGCCCAGCTGGGGGGAATGTAAATACACAATTCCCTGGCCCAGGGCGCCCCCGAGTGAACTGCAAATACACGCTTTCCTGGCCCTGGGCGGCCGCGGTGCAACGCGGCACCAAAGCGGCCCCCAACAGCCCGAAGACGCCCCAAAAGGCCTCGAAGGATCGCAAAGAATGCCGCACAGCAGCCCGAAAACACGCGAGGTAACACATGTCATGGGCCTCTTAACAGCCAAAACTCCACGCGACGCCATAGAGACCACTGCTGTGGCAAGGGGGCTGACCTTGCCGCAGGCACTTATACTTTTTCATATTAGCGATGCGACTGTGCTCGGCGGCCGTGCCGCCCGCGCTTGGAGTGCGCCCCGAACGCTTGCATTGGCAATCCCCTCTGTTTGGTTGCGCCGCTGTGCTCGGATTTCGAAAAGGCGATATACCGCTGATACGGGCACGCGGC